CTTCGCCCGATCGGGCAGACCTTGCCCGGTCTGACCGGGCGGTGGGGGTTGGATACGTTGAAGCATTCGTATGGAGTTTTCTTCTCGCGCCCGATCGGGCAGACCTTGCCCGGTCTGACCGGGCGGAGAAGGAAAAATACGGAACGCGGATTTTGCGGTTTTAGGTTATCTTATTTTATTATCTTTTTGCCCAAGTATCTTTTAATTAGGGATTAATATAAAACCTCCCTAATATCAGTATTAGGGTTAAGAGAGACAGAGTGAGAGCCGTTCTTGAGAAATACAAGAATCATCTTTGTAATCTTTGCAGTTTATAGTGAAATCATTCGATCTCGGTGCCCGTGGACGTAGCTATCACATCGATAGTGAACCACGTAAATTCTTGGTGTTGTTCTTATTGTTTGCATTGAATTTCTTTATTGTTTTCTTGTTTGTTTTCGACCTTTGCTTCCGCTGTCGCACAACAGTTTTTCTAGGAGTTTCGATTCTATGTCATGTATGTGTAGTTTATATAGGAGTCTTTTTACTTTAGTTTGTAATGTTTTGAGTTAGAGTTCCTTCAAGTATCTTTAACTCTTTATTTATTTATTTTTTCAGAAAAATAGTTTTAAAAACGAGTTAAAACAGAAAAATAGCGCGCCACGGTAGAAATACCGTGACACGGCATTTTTTGCATGTCGCGGCGCACATTCCGTGACACGGTGATTTTTGGGCTTTTCTTTGTGACACCTTTAACTTTAGGGTTCCGTGCTTCACCCCTCATATCTATCTATATTATCTATTAAAAGGCGTTCCTTTTAAAGGAACGGTGCCACGTGGCACTCTTCAAAGTACGTGTGCCTATGTCACAATTCCATGTCATCAACCAATGTCTATGCGCAACGTAAGCTAGCCACTTCATTTAACAAAATAAAATATATTTTCAACAAGATTTGAACCCATAACCTCCAATATATATACGTAATATTTTTACCATCTCAACCAACTATTATTAATGCTTCAAGTTTCACATAATATTATAATATTCCTTTCATATATTAAGTAAATTAGAGGTAATATAATTCATTTATTTTTCACAAGATTAAAATATAAATACATATGATGTAAAAAAAAAGTTGACATTCAAGGCAATGCCTGAACCACTACACACACTAACTACACAAATAGTCCAACACAATTGTTAAATTAAAGCAAGAAGTACACAAGTTAGCAACCCGGGGCACCGTCCGGGATACACACTAGTTTTCTCTATTAATATGAGGCTAATTTCTCCAGTTTCAGAGCACCAAAATCATTCTCTCTATTCCTCTCTTATACACCAAAAAATCATTCTCCCTCTCTCTCATACTCGAAGCCTTAAACCTATATTCCTAATTACATCATTCCTTCCTTAAGCACTCCAAGGAGTCCATACTTGGCCCGAATTTTCATACTTAAACCAAGGCGTGAAATCAATTTAAAGGAATGTGCGGAATGTGAGTAATTAATTAATTAATTTAATTACTTATTTCATTTTATATTGCTAGCTAGTATCATGATTAAGTTTATTATGATTTGATTTGACTAACGATATTATTGTTAAATTGCTTCCAATGTTGATGTTTATTCTATTGTTCATTGTTGATCACTATATTTCATGTTTAAAAAGAATATGCAATTGAATATTACGCCTAATAAGATAATTTGGACAACCGGTTTAGGTTTCTTTTTAATCTTGTTGTTTAATTAAAGTGATCGCAAATATTTTAGAATTATATGTTGCATAAATATTTAACCGATTTAGCCTAATTATAGTTTGGAGAAAATTGTATCTTTGTTTGCATGCCTTTAAGATCGTAGGAATCACTTTTTGCTATAAGAGTCTAGTAGAGGCTAATACGGGCGCATGTGACTCCATGACTCACTTCGTACCACATCATCGATCCCTAATCCTCCTTTCGTGGTTCCGAACCATATGGAGATCTCATGGATTATGAATGGGGTGTAACCTTCACTGATTAATCGTTGTTGCCTTTCGTTGTCCCCTTAATCGTGGTTGTCATAAATGATCCGTGAACGGTTTACAAGTTTCTTAAAAACTTGTTAGCGGCTCCCTACTTTTCTGGTCCCTAATTGTTGTTCCTAATCGTATATGTCAATTCCCACTTCCTATGAGTGTCAAACATATTCACAATATGCTTAACGTAAGCGCGTTTCAAACGACGCCTATAGTACTATATTGTTATGAAAGTATGATTGGACAATGTCTATGAAACTAAATTTGAACTCCAAACATTCACTGAAATCGGAGTTACTACTTGGAGACTATATGAAACTCCAAACCTAAAAGGAACTAATGTAAAATGTGTAAATATCTTCACTTAGTACGTGCCTATATTTAGGGATTATATATGTAAATTATTCACAATGAACGTTGTTAATTAGTACATATATTTTGATTTTTTTTTTTGTTAAGGAAAAATATAGTATATGGTACATTAAGATTATGTTTTTTATTTGTTACTTAGTTTTCCTAAATATTTATTATTTGAATTAAGTTGTGTGAACTTGTTCTAAAAAAAATTTAAATTATATTAACTATATATCAATAGATTGTTTTCGATCATTGAATTAGCATTCGTTTCCAAATTTACAAGTATTATAATGTGTAGATTATAGAAAAAGGAATAAATAAAATTAATAATATGAATCTTCCAAAATATTATTGAATTAATTAGTTTACTAAAGAAAAATACTTTTAATACTCCACAAGGTATGAGAAACAACTTAGTATATATAGTGGGATTAAATGGACAGAGCCACAGAGGAAAAGACAACAAAGTGGCTCCAAATTCATACATACATAATATATGCATATAACCCCACATTTTTATGTAATTTTGTTGCTTTCTAAGGGAGTAAATAAAAATATAAAGACTACACTAACTAATGAATTAAGTATCATAAAATTAAACTGACAATTTGACAAATGCAAGAAAACAAAGGAAGGCCTTTTTATTTTTTAGCAAAGTTTTCCATGGTAAAAGTCTTCCATGTTATTTAGCGGGGCTCAACTCTTTTGGATTGACATAATTTGTCCGATTTCCTTCTTATTTTGTTCATATTGCATATTCCAATTCAATATCACTTTCTGAATTGAAGAACATTAAAAGAAGTTTTCTTCTCTTCATTTCTTAAACATTCTAACATACACTCTTTTTTGATCCAGAGAGGTCCACTTCACCAATAAGCCTATACACTTCTCTTGTTGTTCTCTTTCTCATACACTTATCTTCCTATTTGAGAACTATAGAAAGTACATCTTTGATAAATCCTGTCACTATTAATAATTACTTTTAAAAAGTACGTACTCCTAAATCTGTCAAATTATTTTCAAAATCCAAATAACACATTTTATATCACGACATATGTCACTGCTCACTGCACCCCCTGACCTCTTCAAAGATGATATAGCACCACATCCTTGACATCGTAACATCATTCAAATGTTCAATAAGAATCTCTACAATACGTTATACTTTGTAAGAAGTATAAAAGGTAGGTGTTTGTATATATTTGAACCCAGGACTTTCCATTGAAAGAAAAAAATATGAGTTACCAATCTATATCATATTGTCATATTGTTAATTTAATTAATCACACCAACCTATAAAAGTGGAAGCAGAAACTGATGCTCAACCTATAATATCGTGATGTAAGTCATGTAACAAATATGCTATCAAATGGATCTATATAGTGAATTAATTAGTGATTAACTTATACCATACACAAATTATTATAAATTATAATTTACAACCAAAATTTATAAGCAGTCACATTTTTATTTAATCAAACCATTCATCAAACGAAATAAGTCCCTGCAAAACTATCTTTTATGCCAACAAAATGTATAAGATAGAAACATATGGTCTTTATACGGATTTAACTAAAAGTAATCCAGACACAGTTTATCTTTAGACATAAATTCAAGTAAGCTAATAATCAAAAACTCAATTAATTAGTAGGTTATTATTAGTGTCATAATATAAACACTTTGGTTTGCTAGCTTATATGTTTGACAAGTTAATTATGAGGATATCCAATATACGAAATACGACGTATATATTTTGAATACAGTACATAGTTTTAATTTTGTAAATACATAGTAGTATAAGTTTTACCATACATCTATATCTATGGTCATTTCCATCCTTCCATACAACATAATAGTATGTCATAAATATTAGAACCGATATACACATCACCAACACTTACAAAATTATACTATATATACCAATTTACATTGCCAAATGTCTAACTATCAAGGTATAGAGAAAAACGTGAAAAAAAAAATTATTATTGTGAAAATAAAATACGGAGTATAAATTAAAGGAATGATTACTTCATACTAAAACTGATAACATGCAGTTAATATCGGGTAAATACAAGTTAATCTCTGAGATTCACAAAATTTGTTTATCACATGACAATTTTATAAATAAATCAACAACTTTTTCCATAAAAGTGGGTCCTACAGTGATGATGACTGGATAAAGTTGTTGATTTATTTACCAAAATGTCATGTGATAAACAAATTTTGTTTATCCCAGAGATTAACTGGGGCTTCCTGGTTAATATCTAAACATTAAATAAAAAAAAAAACATAAATTCTGAGATATCTTATTGTTAGTATAGGTCTCTAGTTATAGGGATTAGGGATTAGGGATTAAAGTGATGTCTTATCTCGTAATCCATTTGCATTACATTATTAGGTTTAGGCAAGTAATTACATATGGTGTACGAATTATATATCCTAATCATGAAGCAAGTAACAATAATAATAATGTTGTATAATTAACAAATGTTTTTCAATATTTGGGACATTTAATACACGTTAAATCACACACATTAGAGCTAATTAATATTTTTTAGACTTTATACAAATTAAATTAAAAAGTCAAAAATTCTCAAATTAAGGAGAAAAATGGTGCAAATGGATAGGATTGAAGAAGTAGTAACACACACCCAAAAAGTGATAAGTCGTTATTACCTTTTTGAAGATAGTTACTACTAACAATGACATTTGAGTGAAGGAAAATTGATGCATAACTCTAGAACAAGTACCTTATCAAGATCTCACTTAGAATAAAAATGTCTCATTCACAAAGTCAGATCTAGGGTACTTGTCCCTCTTGCACAACATTCCTCCTTATTATTACTATCACCTCCTTCCCTAACCTTGTTATCGAGCTTCGATGAGGACGATGAAGACGTGTGATGGAGCAACAAAGATAAGCTAATACTTTTATCAACTTCCTCATCATCAAGAATAATTGCTTCACTTTCTCTTCTTGGTGGTTTTAGTGACAAATCCAAGTCAATATTACCATCCCAATCTACTCTTTTCCTCTTAAGCGACATTCGATTTTGAAGACTATCTTTACTACTAATAATAATGAACTTCTCCTCTAGTATCTCTTGGTGTAGAGGGTGTAGCACCCTTGGACTTATATCCCTTGTTATTGGCCGTGTGCTCGGGTTTTGCCTTGTTTGATCGCGGTAATGCATTGGCCTTGTCTCTTGATGAGCTTGCTCAATGATTTGCCGAGGATATGGCTCATTTCCAAATCTTGCCCGTACATTGTTATTCACCCTGGAGTCCATGTCTATTGTGTACAAATCATGCATCCAATTTTGATGTGTAGTCTTTGTAGGGTCTACGTTTCTTCAAAATTGAATTGATTGATTATACATGTTAGTGGGGATAAAATGAACACATTGAATATGTATAGGGCAATAGTCACCTCCACTAAGACAAAATTGGTTGAAAAATATTGTCTCAACTAAAATCGTGTTGTCAACCTGTCTTAAATGGCGTCACTGAATATTGTCTTGGAAAAATCATCACCACTCAACATGATAGACTAGCAAAATGAAATAATCCCATAACTTTTAGAAGTTATTTCTTTCTATTTCTTATGAGATTCAAAAGTAATTCGATTCAAATTTTCAATTACTCGTATATATTTTTACCTGAAACTGGAACTTGAAGCTTGGCAATAGCCTTGTAGCAGAGGAATCTGGCTAAGATTGAAGATGTTGCAATCTCCAACTTCAAAAAGATGTCTTTGGTCACATGATCCTGCTGCATAAAAAAACCATACTTTAGTTTAATCACCCACAAAACCCTAAATTACATGAATTAATTGAAAATATTTATTGTAAGTGAATAAAAACAATTTAATAAATTAAGGGGGCCTATCTATACTGTAAGGTAGACTGTATATACCTTGACTTTCATCCTCAACCTTTTTGCTCCTATACATCTAATCATACAAAATATCCACAAGTCAAAACAAAATTAAAATTTCATATCACAAAAATAAACAAAATGGTTGGTTTACAACAATAATACTAGTACTAATCATATATTATCACTATTCATTATTCAATATGCATATATAAGATTAACATAAATGTTATCACTATATTAATTACCTGTAGATGACTCTTGACATGAGCTATACTTAGTCCTTTGATGTTCATAAGCTGAAGAACTAACTTAGGTGTTGCTTCTGCACTCGAAAAAAAATCGAATATAAAATTACAAAACTTTCACTAGTGATTTCAAGTAAGAAATTATAAAACCCTATGAACTAAAAATCATTTTGCAAATGAACAACTCACTATCTTGTCCACCAAGCCTTTCAACGGCGTGGATGAATCGAAGGTGGAGATCGGGTGTCCATCGAAGCCTAGGCGTTTTAGATCGAACATAAGGCCTAACGGTAGACGAACTCGATTTCTTCAACTCATCACTTGTTTCTTCAACCGTGCTATTACTTGAACACCCTCCATTATTTTTGCTAATGTTAAATGTTCCTTCATCATCATTTTCGTCGCTCTCTTCTTCATCGTCTTGTTCCTCCTCACCTTCTTGATCACAACGATTCGTTTTCGAGCACTCGCTTTGATCATCATTCCTTTCTTGCATTATTATTTTGTTTTAATTTCTTGATCTCCTAGTTTTTTGCTTCCAAGACTAAAATTCTAATAAGTTAGGTGAATGAGAACTAACATTATTTTTGTTGGACTAAAAAGAAAATATATGTAAGGATGAAATTATATTAATTAGTAGAGAAAAGAATAATAAGAATAAGAAAGGGTGATTGATGACTAGTAGCTAAGAGACGACCTCTTTGATCAGTTCTTTCCCCATTATTTTTTTTTTATCAACTCCAAGACAATAAAATTATTAAGAAAAATATTTATTTAGGAGACAAAAATGTTTGTTGATCATATAATATAAGAATTCACTGAAAATTCTATGGCCCCAACTTGGCAAGAGATAATATAAATGGAATTTAAAGTTTTAACTGTTTGTTATGTACAAAACAAAATGGCAACTGGAACCCTAGGCCTTACATAGGAGTAAAATAATATTTAAATAAAATATAAAAAGTTAATAATGAAAGGCATATATTCCATGGAATAATTAATGTGTGCTGTACTTAAATATATATATATGGGGTTACGTATGATGAATGTAGAAGAATTATATGTGACACATACATATTTGAAATCATGCATAGGATGACTAGAGGGGTTAAATGGACCAATGTTCTTTCCTCGGGGATTCATTTTACTTGCGTGTGTACGTAGGGAATCCCAAAATAAATATCGTGTCTTGGTCCATTCATGTCTTGGATAGGTGTCTATTCGAGTCACAAATCAGGTTTGGATCACGTCGATTTAAGTTTGAGTTATGATCTAATTTGTACCGAACGACACCTTTATGCAAATAGGACAAACAAATAAAAATAGAGAGAGTATACCTAATTTAAGTATTAATCGAATGTTAAAAAATAATATACAAGTAATTCCTAAAACTTTGTTCTTCTCACTAATATTCATTCATCATTAGGTTTAGTGTATATTAATATTGTGATTTTTTTTCATTGTAAGACTTAGGGTTGTTTTTTCTAGGATATAGTGTGATCCATTACAAAATAGCTGTTTAATAGATACCAATAATAAATTAGTTGCTTTCATTAATTTTATATTAATTGTTAATTATTTTAGATTGAAATTAAACCTTGTTGCCTAACATTTTTTTTCCAGGAATTGTTGAAAATTCAACATGTTTAGGCCTCTTAATGAATCCCCCCCTCCTCTGAAAAACAAGAAGCTTTGTTTATACTTGATTGTTCTCAATTGTTCGATGATGAAACCTCAATTTTTCTCAATAAGATAGCTTTCATTTCTACACAAAGGCTATTTGCATGATCAGTAGCATTATTTTATACACTATATGTCGTGATTTTTGAATTATAGAGTTTAAAAGTTCTTAATACACCAATTTATTCATGCTTATACATTTACTCAACAAACGATTAAGCTAAATTGTGACCAACTTCTTCTCGACTATATGTTAACTTTAATAAGTATGTTTATTTACTCTTTTAATCACAAGACAATCTTAATCAAATAAGCTTATGCCCTCTAGATGAAGTTAATTATGTTGCATTAATACTTCATTTAAAAGAAATTAAGCTCTTACATCTAAAGCTCATTGAAAATCAATTGTACCAAACACTTTTCACGTATATACGTACACTCCTATTATCATATCATTGAATCTATGTTAGTCTTTTGATCCTTAAATTAGAGTAAGTAATAGGCAGTAAAAATATCGAACACACAATAATTTCTCGAGTCCAACAATACTCGTGACGGAATATTAAGCCATCAAAAAGGGAATCTCCTTTTGACATATTCAACATAGAAATAATTTATATAATTTTCTTCGGAAGAATTGAAGTTTGGTTTATAAAATATACGGCATATGTCCAAATCTTGTATGGTCCAATTTCCACAGCAAAGCATTTAGCTTCCCGTAGACAACAACAAGTAGACTCCCCAATCAAGAATTATATAGATTTAAGCATAAGCTTAATATATAATTTACATGATAGGTAACTACCGATTAATAGAGTGATTAAAATGTACGTGTAAACTCTTGAAATATTAATAAGACAATTGTCAAGTTGTCCTAAGAAAATAAACATGATTAAAATTTACTTTGATATAGCATAAAAGTCGCACTCGTTATCAAGATAAAGAATCCACTTCATAATTGCATTCGAGATTCATCCAAAATTATATGTTTGCAAAAGGAGTAGCCCCGTTAACTTGGGAATTATCACATCATTCTTAATGACTAGGGATGGTAACGGGTTGGACTCGGAGCGGATTATGCTAAATCCGACTCCGACCCGACAGGAAGTCGGAGGTTAAATCCGGCTCCGACATCCGACCCCGACTTCAATATCCGACCTCCGACTCCGATCCGACCCGACTCAGAGTTTTTTTTTTCATTATTCAATATACTTTGAGATGTTGGGCTATTTGGGCCTTTACAACCCACACCCAATGCCACCATGACCCACACAAAAATCCACTGTCTATTGGAGTCGGAGTCGAATAATCCGTTAAAGTCAGACATTTGTCGGATTCGGATTATTTTCTCGGATTTTTTGTAGGATCCGACTCCGACCCTCCTCCGACTCGGAGTCGGATTATTTTAACGGAGTCGAACTCGGATTACTTTTTTCTCGGACTCAGAGCAGATATTTTACCTCGGATCGGGGCGGAGTAGGGTCGGATTTGGACTAGATTGTCATCCCTATTAATGACAAACATAATCAAAACAAGTTAAAATCATTCATGACTATTTGAGAAACACAAAAGATTTTGAATCTTTTTCCTTTAGCTATAAAAAATTGTTCCTTATTTTGCTTATTTTTTCGTCCCTAACATACTAAGCTCTACGTGCCCTAATCTAATAGGATAATATCTCAAGGGATGAGGGATCAAGGGGGTAGATTGTAGATATTAATTAACTTTACTATGTTTAATTTAAAGTTTTACAAAAATTTATCCCTAAAATATAATGTCACATCTTTGTATACGTATGTATATAACTTGGTTGTTGATCCAAAGTTTTTAAAATTTTTAGTGTCCCCACCCGTTGAATAATCTTGGTGAACCCATGGTCCCATGCATTCTGCATGAATTTGATTTCAGATAAAGTCTGAACAAGAGAATTTTGGAGAAGGTTGGTTGTCAATCTATGTTTTATTTCAAACCAACTAATTATAATATAGTAACAACCAAAATATTAAATCAATTGATGGTGAGTAGAAAATAAAATGAGAGAAATGTTGGAAATTTTAGAGTGATCAAGGGCTTAGTTCACACATACACTTAATTAATTGGCATTAGTTCACACAATTAATAATTAATTAAGTGGCATGTAATGTCTTACTAGCTTACTAGAGGTGTGGGGAGTCGAGAGTTTTGCATGTGCACTCAAAGAAAGTGTAAAAACTAGGCAATTATATACTTATGAAATCAAATATATATTAAAAAATGCGAATCCAAGGTTGTGTTCAATTCACCTTATCTAATCTAGGCTAATCTAATTTAAACTATTATAACCTTGAAGTATTTGATTTTCTAATTAATTTAATTATTATTTGATCTGCTCATACACTAGTCTTTTTATTTAAAAAAAAAAAAAAAAGGTACCCTTTTTATTGTTATACAGTATATATAATTAGTTAAACTAAATATAACCTATATGTATTTTTACATTAGACATTTATAGTTCTAACCCAATATTGAAGATCATAGCTAGCCAACCATATATTGAAATTTTTATCAAGCTAGCTAACTAACATATGCAGTAGTCTAATTTTCAACGTACTTAAAATACAAAATCAAATTCAAATTCAATTGTACCTTCTAAATATATGATTAATCCTGTCAAAAGAAAAAAATATATATATATATATAAAAAGCTAAACTTTTAGCCAGGTCACGAGACAGTGACACTTGGCATTCCAACTTTTCGCCAAGTGTCGTGCCACGTTGGATAGATTTAAATATATTTCATAAGATAAAAAATTCAGTTTAGATTTCTATTTGGATAGAATTTTAGAATAAAATTGTTAATTTAGAGTTTTATTTTCGATAAAATACTTCAATTCCTAACTAATTTGTATCAATATTATATTTTAAAATTTGACATATATCTTAAAATTCAATTTACAAAACTAATATATAAAGCTAAACTTTTAGCCAGGTCACGAGGCAGCGACACTTGACATTCTAACTTTTCGCCAAGTGTCGCGCCACGTTGGATAAATTTAAATAGACTCCCTAAGATAAAAAAGTTAGTTTGAAATTCTATTTTGAATCAAATTTGGATAAAATTTTAGGATAAAATTGTTAGTTTAGAGTTTTATTTTCGATAAAATAAAATTTGAGTGTCGCGCCACGTTGGATAGATTTAAATAGACTTCATAAACAATCCGGGCATCGCACGGGGCACAAAACTAGTATATATATATATATATATCAATGCAAAGATTAAGCCGTTTTCTTCAATATTTCTTGAATTTAACACAAAACAAAACAAAAACCAAATGTATGATTTGTTTCGGATGAAAACAATCGAATCTCGGAAGATCCTTTTATCTTGAGGGAACTTGGTCTCGGTCCGAACGACGCAGGAGCCGAGGGTTTCCTGCACAACAAATACACGTAAACTAGCCTCGGGGGGGACGCCGAGGAAGGCCCCTCCGATGCTTAAGTCAGTATATTAGAGAGAGAAAGCTGTGCAAGAGTTTAGTTGCTTGAGGCTTTATTGTCTTACCAAGAATTGACCAAATTGTTGGCTTTTATACCTTGGCTAATGAAGGAGGCGGATTGGGCCCGGAAGTCAGTTGGGCTGGGCCAAGCTGATTGGGCCGTTGACTGACCTTGACATGGCTTTGAGGATGTTGATTTTTGACTTTAGCACATTTGGAGAGTTGAACCTTAACCTTGGGCTTTTAATTGGATCATTCAGTGACCAGGCCCAATTGGACTAAATTGGACCCAAACAACTTGCCCCCCAGACCCGATTTGGAAGGATGACGGGTCGGGTTTGATTTAATCAGAAAAGGAGGGAAGTGAATGATTTGTTAATCCAAAAATGTGAATTTAAACCGTAATTAACCCATGATTAATGAGATAACAACAGTTAATGTGGATAATTGCGGAAGTTGGATGGGTAGTGGGCGATTTAACTGCAAGGTCGTGTGTTTAACGGTTACTTAGTGGGGTGCTTGAGAGAAATTGAAACGCAGACTCCTTGAATTCCCATTTCTGGAGATATAAATAGAGGCG